GTTGTATCACAATAAATTAAAAATATTATTATATTTATTTGTGAAAATTTGATAAATTGGACCCAATTTATCAAATTGGTTCCAATACAATAGGATAAAACCACTGACAATGAAAAGAGAATAAAACATGAGGTTAAATATTTTTTAACTTCGTAAATAAATTCATTGATTTATTTAGAAGTAACCAGACAAAACAACAATAAAATACCTTGAAAAACAGTTAAAAAACAATAATTAAAGTTTTAACCAAATAGTTTGGATATAAACGGCTTTATTAATACAAGATCAATGCAAATATGCGCATATGCGGATGATGTTGCCATAATAAGCCTCAACGAAAGGGTATTAAGCGAAAAAGTTATAGAACTAGAACGAGAAGCTGCTACGTTTGGTCTATATATAAATAAATCATTACCATTTTGGCTTTACAATCCTCTGTGGGTTCTAGCCTCCCCAAGAATTCTCTTCTAGTCGTCCCTATCCATCACCATCCTCCGCCAAGCACGTATTTCCATATTTCTCATATGTTGGTCGACGTTATCTAGAAATATTGTTTTGGGTCTTCCTTTTCTTTGACCAATAAGTCTACCAAGGAGTGTTTTTCTAGCTGGGTCGGTTTGATCCATCCACACTACATGGCCTACCCACCTTAGACGTCCTATCTTAATGTGTTAGTAAGTAAGATAGCCTTAAAATATGAACATTTATTGTAAATATCTTAATACCTTGATATTCATACGTCACAAATTCACGATCAACAAATGAAAAGCATTCACGCAAAAGTGTCCAAATTTGCAATTTTTGAGTTATGTATGGATTTGGCTTTTAAAAGGAAATATCTATCGACATTTTCATCAAAACTCGTGCTAAAGTTGATAAATACCTTGTAAAATAAATGCGAAAGTGGTCACGATCAACCAAAAGTGAATACTTCCATAATATAGGCATCGAGCAAAAAGACAAAAGAGGGAATGTAAAAATAGTGGGGGCAAACATATTGTTAGACAGGAAGTGCGATCTTTAGAGGCCACATTAAACGAGGAAAGATAGTCTCTCTCCTTGTTTGACATCAAATTTAGTTAGGTTATGGTATTGTTTGTCCCAAATGTCACATGAAATCTTATTTATATTGAAGTTTTTTAACAATTGTGTCGCATTTTGGACTATTATAGTTAATAATTAATTAAAACTTTCTCATCTAAGACACATCCTGAAAAATATATAGCTACTGTTAATAAGTGTCGGAAAATTTAAATTTGGCGCATTCGCACTTCCGGATATGTCCGCCATCAGAGGCCACTTTTTTGGTCTCCTTTTCATAAGGATTAGATTCCCTCTGTTGTCTTTTTGCTCGATGAATGTAGGTAAGTTCACAACTCGATAATTCCTGTTAATGTCTTATGAGTAGAGCATACGAACATAAACAGCACTGGTTCCGTTTAAAACTGGCTGATGGCTGATTCCGTCTCCACGAACGAGATGCGCGTACTTATTTTTTCAAGCAGAGTGAACATTCTGATTGTTTATTATTCTGTGCTCAAAGATTATATCTAAAATAATTTGAAAAACCAAAAAAAATTAAATTTAAATAAATCAATAAACACGATAAATGAGCTAATGTCACTGTCAATGAAAATTATAAAGTCAACATTTACAGTAAACAAGGTGTCAAAATCATGCCATATTGTTGATCCTTAATATGGACAAGCGGTTTCATCTTGCAATACTAGTTTTTGTGAGTAAAAAAGAAACCTAGCATAAAAATATTTCGATAATTTCATGCATGGGAAAATATAGAGTGGACGTACTAAACAGATTGAACGAAATAAATTCGGAACATACGAAATATTATGTATTTCGGCTCAATTCTGCTGTAGGTGGTTGACCAACAAAAGGTTGTCAAATAATTATATTATAAAAATCCAATACTTCAGCGGGCTGCTGGATTCTGAAATCATAAAAATTGAAAGCTACACATAAATCTACGATTTTATTATGCTGTCAAACCACTTATAGTCCAGGAAATGAAGCATTTTACCTCGCAATTTTTTCGTCCTGATTGACTTGAAATTTTAACAGAAGGTAGGTAATAGCCAAGGATCAAAATCTATATCGAACCAAAGTGCGCCAAAGCCTTGGGGGTGGTTGCCACCCCATCTCGGGGGTGAGAAATTTTTTTAACGTTTTAACTACAGGTTTCGATTAAAACAGTGATTCTAAAAAAAAATGTTCAATACATTTTTTTGGTAAAACTGATATTTTTCAAGTTATTCGCGATTGAAAGTAACAACTTTTAGACGAAAAAATCGACGTTTTTAATCGATTTTTCGCGAATAACTCGAAAATGGTGCATTTTATCAAAAAAAATTGTAGAAAACAAATTTGTAGCTATTAAAAAGACAAATATAATTCATTTTTTAAAATGTTTTTGCGATATAACAGGAACCGAAATACGGCCTATCAATGTTAAGCGGTTTTCTTCAAATGCCAAATTTGAAAGATTCAAAGTCAAATATCGGGAAAATGATGCATTTTTGGAAGAAAACTCACAGAATCTTTTTTAAACATCATAAATAGACCTATTATAAAAAAAGGCTCTAGCTTAATAATTGAGTGAGTTATGATGAAATTAAGGTCAATACCTCATTTTTTTACGAAAAAATCGATGAAAACAACCCCTAACCACCTCCATAATGATCTTCGCCCTTTTGCAATTCTCTTTGTACATATATTGTTAATACGTCCAAGAAGTTTGACCCATTTAAAATGCTTAGTTTTAGAAAAAGTACAGCATAAAGCGAGAAACGATTTACAATTTCATATTGTTTACCCTTCTTTTTTTAAATATCCCCGAAAATACTGAATATATGAAAAAAATAGAAAAGTACTAAATTGTAGCTTTTTTAATGACTAAAATTTTCCTTTATTTAGATTTGTTGTACAATGAACATTTGGCGAGATATAACCGTTTAAAGCATCGATTTTCGATCAAGCACCATTTTTTGGAGCCCTTTAAACTCACCCCATTTAAAAACCAAGGGTTCCAAAAAGATTTAATTCACAGATCCTTGTAGCTCTTAAAAACCTCTACAAAATCGTTTTTGAAGAAACACTCTATCGTTAAAAATGAAGAAAATACGTTAAAAAAACCAATTAATATTTTTCCCGGAAAATTACATTAGTATAGTACAGTACATTTCGGAGCATAATAATCTACAAAACCGGTATATTAGGTAGTGGGGCATTATACATTCAAAATTTTAAGCGTACTTATTTTGAAATCCCATACAACAGAATAAAAATGAAAATATCAGAGCAACAGATTGGGGATGGTATTCCAAAGATGGTTTGTTATTTCCCGTACGCATGAACAAACAACCTGCACCCGATCAATATTATTTTTTGCCAATGCAAAAAAAAGGAATGCGGCGGTTCATGTGGGTGCAGAAAAGTTGGTTTATACTATAACTCTACTTGTTCTGTGTGTTCAGGTGAAGGGTGCAATAATAGTCCACCAATAATTGAAGAAGATGAGGATGACATAGATCACGATGAAGATGTAATTGATGACGACTAAAATTAATATTATAATTGTTTTACCTATAAATGTAAATATTTTCAACTATTTATGTAAATGTAAAAGAATATATGGTGCCTTTTATGTTGATAAATTTTTTTGTATTTAATTCTACTTTTTTCAATTTATATCTATTAAATTAGTTTATAAAGACTGCAATGTTGTAAAGGGTGATTTTCAAAAGTTGAAAAGTTGCAAAATTTTGGCAAAAAATTGTTTTCACCTATAGCACTCATAACAATTGATTTTTAAGGGTGGAAAAGTATATAAAATTGTATTTTAAAGTATAAAAAAATCACTATTTAACTAATCCAAACCAAATTTCACTCATCTTAAGATTTGTAATGTTATTTCACAATTTTTGAAAATTAGGGGTAGTTTTCACCCCTAAGAACAATCAGGGTTCATCGGCATGACATAAACTATAGAGCAGAGGGTGAGTTGAGCTTAATTCCCAATTTTTA